CAGAGGCCAGCAATGCCTTCCCAGTGTTTCTGTGCAGTGAGGTCCCACTTCTATTCTAGACACACAGTAAAGCTTTCGTCTAGCCTAAAAATTTCCTCAGGAAAAAGATTAAACATAATGTTTTCATCTTCTATCACTTAACCCTTCCTTTATGTCTTCTACTTACCCACTCTGTGACTCTCCTCCCAGGATTTGGGTCTCCCCTTCCTCTGGGGGATAAATCACAGTCCCTGGCTATGGAAGCCTGGCCCTTTGTATCTATCCCATCTCCTTGGACACCCCCACTCACCAAGTCAGCCAATGGTGAGAGGTACATGCTGATGGTGAAGACACTGCAGAAGAGGCCCAGCTGCTGAAGCCGGGTGTCAGGGTCAGGCACCATGAGCCAAAAATAGCCACAACCCAGGAGAAGGACTCCCAGCAGGCTTGCAGTCTGAAGGAGCAAGGCTTGCTGCAGGGGAGAGAGCAGCCTTACTTCTAGATGTGCCAGGAGTCCACTCTTGATCCTGCTAAAATGAATTCATCCTGCCTGCCCTCTCCCATCCTCCCACGGGAAGCCAACCTTTGTCCAAGTCTCCAGTATTGCAATTGTCACAGCCTCCTTCTCACCAGTGACTTGAAATTATGTTTGAGCCACCCATAACACTGGAGATCTCTTGGGGAGGGAAAGGTACTTTGTGAGCTCAGTACACACAGTAGGAGCTTAATAAATGCTTATGTAACTGAATGAGGAGGTAGAGCCAATCATCTCATTCTCTGTCACTGGCCCTACCTCTAAAGGAGCTATCAGAGATAAAGCCATTTCCTCAGCTTGTTGGTCAGAAGCTCAGGGCAGTACAGAAACCATCGAGAGAAGCACAGCTAAGGAGCCTTGCCAGATTTGGGGACACTATGTGAGTCTCAGAAATCTGGCTTCAGGGAGACAGAAGGGGCTAGAGGGGCCTTCCAGGAAATGGTAACAGTGCCAGCCTGTTAGTCTTCTAGGAAGAGTGTTTGCTCTGCCAGTGGTGGTTTCAGGGAGGGCCTCTACCTTCCGAGGGCAGTAGTGCAGATACACCAAAATGTACAAGGTCTGAAGCACAGCGCCCACAACGTTGACGACGATGAGGGTCCCGTCTCCCTTCAAGACCCCATAACTCAGCCAGCTCAGGTTGCTGCAGGGTAGAGAGTAGAGTCATAGCATGTGGGGGTTGGGTGGGGGAGGAAGATTCAAGGGTCCTCCTTTACGTGCCTCTTCTCCACCCCTCCCCTACCTCCCTTTCCCGCCGTGGTCATCGTCCCTCTCACTTGACATCCGTGGTGAGAAAGGGCAGGAACTGGACGCTGTCCACGCTCCGAGTCACCCGCATGTGTCTGAGGTCCGAGCTGCAACGGGGCCCCGAAGGGAGATGTGAAGGGTAAGAAGGTGCTAGGGGGTCTAGATACCCGATGCCTGTCATCCTCCCGTACAACCGCAGAGCCCCAGGGTCCTCCAGTCTCCCGACCCCTCTCAGCTCTCTTGCTTTCATTCCCAAACCAAGCCACGCCCTTGTTTCCCGGTCCCCTCGACCCGATTTCACTTTGACTCTGGGTCCCCGATGTAGCCTGGGGCTGCGGTCAAGTTCTGCCCTTCTCTTCTTTCCTGACTTCCTGGTCCAGCCCCAGCCCAGCCCGGCAGTGCTCTCACAGGCCGGTGGAGAACATGCCGAGGGTGAAGAACACACAGGCTCCAGAAAGGAGCGAGTCGACCACGGTGCCCGGCTCCATGCCTCCGAGAGACAAATCCGGGGCCAGTCTGTAGCGCCCCAGTTAGCTCAGCATTGGGCGGGCGAAGCTAGAGCTCCGCCCCCTTCGCGCACCGGACTCCACCCCCGCACGCTCAGGCAGTCCCTCCCGGAAACCGAACCGGAACTCTGCCTGCCCCTAGAATGCCAAACCGGAACTTAGGTCCAGTCTCGCGGAGCGCAAATCCTGGCTGGGGCTGACCCGCCGCCTGCGGGTTGTTGGTATTCCGTGGTTGGTCCTGGTCCTGTGAGTCCTCAGATTTGTCCCCATACCTGTAGCAGTTCTATTACAGATCACTTCAGTCAGAGATATATCTGTGGAAAATAGCAACTATGGCAAACAGTGAAATTGTGCCCTTGCCCAAACATCTGAAACCCATCTTTTAGATCACTTTACCCTAATGTTGTCATAGCGACACTTTATAGTGTTTCCAAGGAGCAGCTGGGTGGGTTTGAACCGCTGACCTTTCAGTTAGCAGTACACTGCATATTCTTCAGCGCCACACCAGAACTCCATAGTGACTATGTATAGGAATTCTGAGGCTTTTCATCTTTGTGAGAGCAGAAAAACTCATCTTTCTCCTGAGGAGTGGCTGGTGAGCTTGAACCGCCAACGTTGTGGTTCACAGTCTGAGTGCTTATTGTATGGAGCCACTGCATTCTCTTTGCTAAATTAGCTAAAAAATACAAAGTCAAGCTTCTTACTGTTTTACTTAACACACTATGACACTATAAGAAAGTCACCACTTCATCTTCCTTACTTCCACTGATGAAAACTAGTCCATGATGTACTCATTTTTTTTTTCGGTTTCATCTTTCTGCAAGTAGCAGAACAAGATCAGTCTGTTTTGACTCATGAGGCTCTCAAATAAGAAGGTTTTAGTTTTAACTTGCTGAATGATCTATCACAGTTAGCAATAGAAACTGCATGGTTAATAGAAAGTGCTCAAATCAATGAGATGAAACAAATGTGTATAGATTGTTGAATGTAATATGAATTATCTGCTCACCCAACTCACAATAGTTGTTTTTTTAAAATCATATAAGACCAAAAAACTGCTCAGTGGCTCCCTTTTTCAAGTGGCACCCAGAGAACATGTCATACCTTAGATGGTCTCTCAACTGCCCTACTCCAGAAGGCCAGTGCCTATGGGGCAGACTACAAAATAAAATATTGCAAGACCCATCCAGAAGGCAACTTGCTCCCATCCAGAGATCCAGAGCACTAATTCAGAACCTCATTTTCCCAGGGTTTGAGATTCTCCCTACCTCCCCAAGTTTTCTGAAGCCTTTGTTAATCCTCTTCCCAGCAATTACTGGAACTCAACAAGCCTTGGTCAGATACCTTCTTCCTTCAGCCATACTATCAACTTTACATGATTTGTCTAATCCACTGAATCCAGTCACTGACCCTCTAGTCCAGGGGTGGGGCAACATCGGCCTGTGGGCCATATTGTTGTTATTGTTAAGTGCCATGGAGTCGATCCCGACCCGATCCCGACCCATAGCGACTCTGTGTAGGGTTTCCGAAGAGCAGCTGGTGAGCTTGAACCGCCAACCTTGCAGTTCAAACGGCTTTGCAGTCTGGCGCATTAACCTACAGCGCCACACCAGGACTCCATATAAGGCCCTAGAAATCTTTTGTCTGGCCCTGCCAAGGCAACGGCAGTTCCAGCTATTACTTTTGTTAATGTTAGGTGCCATTGAGTCGGTACCAAGTCTACCCTATGTTCAACAGAACAATACTGCCTAGTCCTGTGCCAACCTCACTATCTTTACTATGTTTGAACCCATTGCTGCTGCCACAGTGCCATTCCATCTAGTTGGGGGTCTTCCTCTTTTTCTCTGACCCTCCACTTTACCAAACATGATATCCTTCTCCAGGGACTGGGGGTGAGTTAATTAAATGCTTGATCAAATATAGCAGGCTAATTTTGAAATTGAAAATTTGGTATGGACCATGAATGATGTTACACATTTTGGCAGAAAAAAGGTTCCTCACCCCTGCCCCGGTCCAACCTCCATACTGCTGGGAACTTTCCCTCCCAGCCTCCTACACGTCTCTACTGGTGGGGCGGGGCCGCATGCCTCAGCTGGCGTTCCCTTAAGTGGCTGCCCTGACTCACCCAAGCAGCATGAGTGCCTGAACCATAAGCCAGAGCCTAGTGCTGAGGGGGTGGGAGTGGAGCAGAGGTTGGGCAAGAACTTGCAAATTGGAGTGCAGCCTAGAACCTGAGAAACTATTGTGTTCCACTCCTGCCCTGGGCACCCCTCAGAGGAAACCCCTATCCTTTTGGCCTGGCAGGGGCACTTGTCCTTTAGAGACAAGTAAAGGAATTAAAACCCAGTTGCTACAGGTCTAGTGCAGGGCCTCACACATAATAGGGATTCAATGTTTTAGACTGAATCAGCTAGTATGACAGAGCAGAAAGAGGATGTCCAAAAAAGAAAACCCCAAAAATAAACACATGACTTTATTCTGAGACAAAGAACACTGTATAAAAACTCCAGTTGTAGAAATTAGCACAAACACACATATAGGAAATTTATATACAGATACTGTACATGTGGGCCCTGCCCTTCAGGCTACAATCTAGGCAGACTTGGTACACGTGGGCACGGCCCTTCCAGCTACAAAGAACAGGGTGGCACAGCCCCCCTGCTGGCACAGTTCTGGGGCGTGCTGCCCCTGGGATGAGGAAAGGATGCAGTGCCCGGCTACAAACCTTCCTGTGGTAGCTCCAGAGATAGAAGTCTTTTGGGGCGATGTTGGGTCAGCCCAAACATGTTGCTTCTCCTGTTCCTGGCTCCCAAGCAGGAAACTGTTGCTGGATTTTCCTTCAGTCAGTCCATCCTGGCTCTCTCTGGGAAGGGTGTCTCTGCCAAGCTTGGTATTCACCTGTCCATTTACATGACCCCAGGCTCAGTTTCCCCTGGGCCCTTGTAGGGGTCATGTCTGCACAGCTTGCTTCTTTGGTTTAAAGGCAGGAACGTTGAAGAAGCGCTTTCTCCACTTCTTTTTCCATCCCTCTGAGGTGGAGGCAAGGATGGCATTGCCAGGCTTGCTGAACTCCTTAATACTGACCCGTTTTGAGGCTGCTGGGTAGCAGCTTGTGCATGAGGTGGGAGTGATTCCCAAGGCTGGGGCTTTAGGAGCTGTCACAAGACAGGTGAGGGGTGTTTGCCCCTAGCTCCTCAGTTCAATGCCAATCCTTAAGCCAAGTGTGGTGTTCACCTTCACGGGGCTTGCAGCAGCAGAAGTGGCAGAAGCAACACAGCCCAGGCAAATGGAAAGAGACAAGGGGCAGCACTGTCACCGATGCTATGTAGAACCTGCACCTGTGGGTCATCTGCGAGATAAAAGAGCAAAGGCCCTCAGTGGTCAGTGAGCCACTGCTGGCATCCTGGCCCTCAGCCCATTGGTATTTCTCCAGCTCCTGCCTGGCATGGAGTTTCCTACACCCAACCTCCTCCACAGACCCCCTATGGGCCTCAGGCCCAATGTGTTTTGGCTACCCACCTGCTGGAAGTTTCTTTTCCTGTGGATTGATATGGGCCTGAGGACTATGAGCTGAAAGACAAGAGTGGCAGTAGATGAGCTATTGTACCAGGAAGGTGGAGGAGTGGGAATACTGGGTGGACTGGACAGTGGGACTTCCCTAGGGTCCCAGAATTATTACACTGGGCCCAACTTAGAGATGGAAAAGGGAACTGTGGGCATTGACAGGGAGGCCCATAGGGCCCTGACACTCACTGGTTTTGCCATTGACGGTCACTTTTAACCTCAAGCACTGATCTTCTTGGTGGTAGATGGGTTTAGCTGCAAGGTAAACCACAGAATGTTAAGGAAGGAATCTTGTTTGTAGAAAATATAAGCCCCTAATACTTCTGGTGCCTACTAATTCTGCTTTTCTTTTTTAATCTCTGATTCTTACACTCCTTAGTTTTTGCTCATTTTCTGTCCAATATTCAGCCCAATCACCCATTCTTTGGAAAACCCTCAGCTTTGGTGGTAGTGAAAAAAAAAAACCAGATACTGCTCTTTTCCTACATCCCTCCATGCCTGAAATTGGGTAAAAATTTCATAATATGATCCTCTTATCTGAACCATTATAGACTCCCCTTGCCTCACTCTACCAGAGTGAATCCTGGCGTGGATCCATTCTCCACAAAGCTGCTCGTTTGACTCTTAAAATCTACCAGTGGGTTCCCAGTGCCCTCAGGATAAGGCCCTGACTCCTTTGAACTTCTTAGGCCCTCCATGATCTATCCTGCTCAACTCCCCAAGCCCCTCTCTCATCACTTCCTGTGTCTCTTCCACTCCAGCCAGGCTGAATCATTGGAAGTACTCTAAAGATAAATGCTAGGTTGCTGACCGAAATGCTGGAGGTCACAGTCCACCCAGAGGTTCCTCACAAGAAAGGCCTTGTGATCTACTCCAGAAAAGTCAGCCATTAAAAACCATATGGAACACAGTTTACTCTCACATACATGGAGTCTACTCAACAGTAGCGGGAGAAAGATGAGGCTTTCTACTCCCGTAAAGATTTACACCCTCGGAAACCCTATACAGGGTCGCTATGGGTCGGAACCGACTCAATGGCACTTAACAACAACAACAACTCAACAGTAACTGGTTGGGCAATGTCATGTTCACTTTGCATTTGTACCTCATGCCTAACCAACTTTTTCCCTTGTTCTAAGCTCTACCGTCATCTTTCTAAGCAAACCTTCTCTGAGCACTATAGCCTGGCATGTAACCAGGTTATTTCCCCAGGGTCTATGCGCTCATGTCTACCACTTTACATTGCTCTTAATGATCTATTAACCTATGTGTGTCCCTTTCCAGCTTCCTTGAGGACAGTGACTTTGTAAAGTTTTATTTGTTGCTGTGCCTGTAATGCCAAGCAGAGTCCCCAATACACAGTAGAAGCTTACTCCATATTTATGAATGAATTAATAATAATAGAATCCCAGGATTGGAAGAGACACTCAGTCGCTTAACTCTCCACCAAGCATATGCAGCATGCTCGCTGTGTCCCTTGGCATGTCCACTCACACATGTAGTAGTAGCTGTGTCCCTCTTTGAACTCCTTGCCCAGGGTGAAGGGTGTGAAGCGCTGGAACTTCTCAGACAGCTTCTCTGGGCCATGCTTGGCATTGGGCTGGTTACACTTCCAGCGGACCTGGTCCTTGGACTGGGGCTGGCACAGCAGGTATTCTTCATGCTCCACCAAATACAATGTGTACTGCTCCATGGCAGCATCTGCCACAGAGTCATCTTCATAATGTGGACAGATGATGTCCAGGTAGTCATTTAGCTGGACGTGTACCGTGTAATCATTATTCCAGAACCTGCGCATGCACAGAGAGGGAAGAAGTAGGTGGTCATTCTGGAGCCGGACCAGAACCTTGAGCCTCCATGTTTACATGACCCTTCACATTTCATGCTATAATTTCCAACTCCTGCACCAGCCACTGAATGACTTTTCTAAAATCTCAACTCCCAATATTTACTGCTCTTGGTCTCTTAAATATCTCCCCACCATCTCCACACATTCCCCACCTTCATTGTTTCCCATTAATCCTCCAAATAGCAGCCAATCAGTATCTTTCAAGTATCAAAGCACTTCTCATAACCCCCTTGATATTTACCCAAGGATGAACTTCTAAATATTTTTTTAGCTCATTCATCATCAATCCCCTTCTACTCATAAATATTTCTCCCAGTCTATTCTACCAGCTGTTCCTTTAAATGTTTTTAGACCTGAGGTGAGACCCTACTATGATCAGAATCCAGATAATCCTTTATCCCAACACATCTCTATCTTTACCTCTTTTACTCCCCTGGTTCTCATCCATGGTCCAGTAATTCTAGTCCATTTCCCAGCATCACCCTTTCTCCAAATTGCCAGGCCAGGCCTAGCCTTTAAGTTAAATTACATTAATCAATTCCTTCACATCAATACATTCACAATTCATTTCACTCCCTTTCTAGCCACTCAAATATGTGTCCAGGTCTCCTTGCCCACTTCTCTTAAAGTACCTCCAAACACTTTTATCTCCAAAAGTCCCACTTTCACCTCCCCAGGAGAGGAGTTCCAGAAATATGCCAGAGTTCTGGGATCTGAGCAGGCCTCTCCCCTCCTCTCCTCCCAAGGTGGAACCCGCTCCCTTCCCCCAGCCCATTCCCCCAGGCCCCACAAGCTCCAGCCTGACTGCCCACCCCTCCCCCCAGCTCCAGACACCTGGCTCCAGCCTGGGTGGGGTCCTAGTAAGGGGGAAAGTGCCTCCACTCCGCTCTCCAAGCTGGTCAGCTTCTCTAATTCCCCCAAGCGCAGCCAGCTAAAGACTCAGCAGAGTAGGCTGCCAACTTGCTTCAAACCAAAGCTTTGCTCCTGGGTGGGGGTGGGGGTGAGTGAAGGGCAGTGTTTGGACCCAGAGGACGTCTGAGGTGGGTTCCTGCTGCCCAGTCAGCGTACCCCTAAGCGGCCTGGCTTTGCAGGAGCCTGTCAGCACTGGAACTAGGCTTACCATGCCCCTCCCCCACCTTGGGGAAAAGAGAGAGAGGGAGAGAGAGGAGCGGAGAGAGGCTTTTAAAATTCCTCTCTGGAGAGATAAACATAGAAGCCATTTCGGAACAGGTATTTCAGCTCTGGGCCTGGCGTCTTTCCCCAATTCCCGTGACGGGCACTGACTCATTCCTCATCCACCTCTGCTTCCCGCCCAGCACTCAGGAGAACCTGTGAAAATCTACTTGGTAAATGTGGATAGCCTCCAGGACCCGAGGGTGGCACAGTGCCCATTTGAAGTTGGGTACTGTCCTCCAAGCAAAGGGGGCTAGCAAGTCTGCTCCAGCACCGAGGCCAGTCCCAGCCAGAGTGGTACCACCCTTCTCACTCCACTGCCCCTGCCTAGGGCCTGAAGATCCCAGGACCCATGCCCACTGCCCTGAGTCACCCATCTCAACCTCACACCCGCCCAGTTCCCTGCCACCTCATCTTTGCCCCCAAGCTGGGTCTGGCCTGGCTGGACTCAACACTGGGCTGTTGGCTTCTCTTTAGTTGTGGATATGATAGTGTGTGTGTGTGTGTGTGTGTGTGTGTGTGTGGCCAGATGGACTGGACAGAAGCTGTGCTTGGTGGGGCACCCATCACCCCCTTCTGGGGGTACAATCTGCTCCACTTAGCCCCAGTTTGACTCCTGCTCTCCATCTGGGAAAGAGGGGCAGCGGCGTCAGGGAAGGCATGGAGGGGGGGTGGTAAGGAAGAGGCTCCTTCCTGAAAGAAAGGAAACCTGGGAGCTTGGGAACGGAAAAGGCCAGGGTCCCCCCTCCCTACTCATGGTTTCCTGTCCCCTCCTCCTTCTTCAGCCAACACCTGGCATGGGCATAAACAGGGACTTTGCTCTCTCCCAATAGGACAAGATTGGGTCAAGGAAGCCAAGAACAGGCAACAAGAAGTGGGGCAGGCGAGAGCTGACTAGGCTGCCCTAGAACCTACTGGGCAAAAGGGCATTGCCCTTTCGGGTTGGCAGCTTGGTGGTTGTTTTCCCACACGCCATAACATGCCACAGACAACAGACACCCCCCCCCCCAATCAGACAATGCCACAGGGTCGGAGAAAGCTGGTACAATATATTGTTCAAGGGATGGGATAGAGGCATGCTAGCGTTGGGGGGTGCCCAAACTGAGTGGTGTTTTTGATGACCCCCAAGCTTCCTAACTCTCCTCTCCCAGCTCCTCCCGCTTCACTCCTGTCTCCTGTTTTCTAGCTAATATTATTCACTTAACTTCAGAAAGCTCAAGGGCAAGAACAAAGGGTCCGACCAAGCTTCTTCCTCCCCCAGGACAATTTGCCCCACAGCCCTAAACCTGCCCAGGGGAAATTAACCCCTTCCTACCCAGGTCCTCAGTAACCCCTTCCCTTCCTTCTGAATCTCCTTTCCCAGACCTCTTTCCCCCTATCGATTCAGTTTTACTGACTTGAACCTCATAAACAGGTGACTCCCTCAACCTACCCATGTACAGCCTCAGTCTCCCATAAGCCACTTCAAAAAAAGCTTTGTGAGGAGCTTTTCAGTCACTTGGAATACAGAAGGAAAGCTTCCTGCTTGCAGTCCAGGCCCTTCCTGAGTGCTCCTTCTAGCATTATAGTTGAGAACTCGGCTCACTCTAGATGTCACATCAGGTACCTGTCAGTCAAGACAGGCAGATGCCTAAGTGACAAACGAGGAGGGGCACAAAGACTTGTATGGTAGGGGACCTAGAGCAAGAGTCTAGGTGGCCAAGGAGAGTGGTCCATGCTTGTAGAAGGTGACTGCCCAACTTGGGTCCGTAATTTATGAGTAATTAGAGTGCCAGGTAGAAGGAAGGGAAGGGCAGCGACAGTGCCCAAGCAAGTAGACGCGGGCAGGTTCCTGTCCTGAGGTGCGCCCTACTACGCTACTACTTAAAGGGGAGACGTCTGGAGAGGGAAATCCCCACAATCCCTCCCGCCTCTGGTCACCTTCCCTAGGCTCTCAGGACTGGGACTGGCCCGCGACAGTTGTTCTGGATGGGGCGGGGGGCGGGGGGGGGGTGCAGTGCTAACCAGCGCCTGCGCTGCCAGCGGATGACTAGGGGCTTACTTGGGATTTGAACTGTTCCAGAAGACGGTGTGACGATCAGCAGCGGCCAGACTGCAGCACAGACCCAAGAGAGGGGCCCAGAGGAACTCCATAGCGCGGGGCCTGGCCAGGCAGGACGGGGGCGAGGGACGAGGGGTTCCTCCGGGTTCGGACTCCGACTGGTTTTCTGCGTCGCAGCAGCCTGCACCGCGCTCACAGCTCTGGCCTCTAGGATTGGCGACTCCGCCTTTTGGGCCGGCGCCGTCCGACACCCGCCCCGCCCCCGCTCCGCCCGGCGCGAGGCCGCCCCGGGGCCTGGGGGCAGGGAGCGGGAGGAGGGGAGAGAGCAAAGAGGAGGGGGACCGGGTTGCAGGAGTGAGCGTAGCGCGCGTAGTCTTGGACAAATCTGCTCCGAGCTGTAGGTTCACTCAGTTGTGGGTCTGTGTGCAGCTTTGTGGGCCTGTGCCGGGTGTGGATTTGGGTTTATTCGCTTGCGGGAAAAGGGAAGGATAGTGCATGCGGGTCTGCGAACGCGTAGATCCAGGGCTCTGCTGGTCCAGCGCAGATCATGCAGATTGCAAGGTTATTGATTTGCTCCGCCGCACCATTCCCGAGCTTTGCACCCACAGGTCGGGCGCCTGAGTTCCCACACTTTCTTTCAACTCCTGTCCCACCCCCCACCCCC